AATGTTGCAATAAACATAGGGGTGCATGTATCTTTTAGAATTAGTGTTTTCATTTTCTCTGGGTAAATACCTAAAGAACAAATTTACAGAACAAATTTTTAGTCTTAATGAGATCCAGTTTATTCATTCTTCTTTTTTATGGACTGTAGTTTTGGGTTTAAGTTGAAGAACTCTGCCTAATCTTAGATCACAAAACTTCTTTCTTATTTTTTCTAAAAGTTTTGTAGTTTTATATTTCACATTTAATTCTGATTTATTTTAAGACTTTGTATAAAGTGTGAGAGATAGTTGAAGTTAATTTATTTTTACCTATGAATGTCTAATTATTCCAACACCAATTGTTGAAAAGCCTATCCTGCCTCCACTGAATTGTTTTTACATATTTGTCATAAAGCAGTTGGGTGTATTGATGTGGAGTTATTTCTGGATTCTCTATTCTGTTCCATTGATCTATGTGTTTGTATTGCCAATACCACACTATCTTGAGAGCTATTTACTAGACCTTAATATCAAGTACTAATTCCTCCTATTTTAATATTTTTAAAGATTATTTTAGCTGTTTTAAGGCTTGTCTTTTTCTATATAAATTTTAGAAGATCTTATCCATGTCCACAATAAAACTTGCTGGGATTTTGATGGGAACTGCATCAAACCTAGAGCTTAATTTGGCGAGAATTGATGCCTTTATTGTGTTGGGACTCCAATCCATGGATGTAGTATGGATATGTCTCTTCATTTGTTTAACTATTCTTTGATTTCTTTCCTTAGCATTTTTAAGGTTTCAGCATACAGATTCTGGACATGTTTTGTTAAGGTTATATCTAAATAGTCTCTGGAATTATTTTAAGTGGTATTGTGGTCTAAATTTCAATTTCCACATGTTCATTGTTAGTATATAGGAATGTGATTTATTTTGTTTGTGATTTGTCTTGTACCTAAGACCTTATTCAACTCATCTTTTAGTTCTGGGATTTACTGTTATTATTATTATTAGTGGTGGTAGTAGTAGTAGTAGTAGTAGTAGTAGTAGTTTGTTTGGAATTTTATCCGTAGACAATCATATCATTTGCAAATAGGAGAAAGCAGTGCAAGCTGGGGCTAGTCAGCACTCCACTGTCTCCCATCCCTGGTGTCAGTGGGTTCTGGTGGGGGATGAGTATCCACCCCTACCTAGCATCATGAGGTGTAATGAAGTAGGACAATATGGAGTAGCTGATATTTTACTTCCCCTGTGCCCTAGTCATTAGTAAAGCCCAGTGACCTGAGTTCTACTCCTATTCAACACCGACAAGGTAGAGTGAGGTGGCGGAATTGAGACTAGTTGGTACTCTTCAGACACCCCCACTGCTTTCTGTGGGGCCCACTATGTAGCTGAGCTTCTGTCCTTACCTCACAGCAGCAAAGGATGTGACTCAGGCTCATTCATCCTTCCTCTCCTCTTAAAGCAGAGGGTTGCACCAGGGATATTATCTCCCTCAGAGGCAGTAAAGCACTGGAAATGCCTTACTTATTTTTGTGGGAAGGTATCAGTGGCCAGAGGAGGAGGTGTACTTCTCTCCAGTTGTCTGCAGTTGAGTCAGTGCCCCATTTCTGTTCAGGTGGTGTCAGAAGTTGAATGTGTACACACACATACATCTTATGCTACACAGCAGCAGAGGGGACTGCCTGCTAAGAAGAAGATTTAGTGGGACTCAGAGTTTCATAATATTTTATCCAAAATATCTTGGATACATTAAAAATATTACTAATTATATAAAGAACTTGGAGAAAATGGCCAAAAAGTAAATCTTTAGTATTATAAAAAGAAAAAGAATATTTAAAACTTAACCTTTTTTCTTATCAGATTTTGTAAAATTTTAGTTAACCCACAAGGTAAGTTTATGGTGTGTAGAAAACAACCCCAAAATTTCAGTGAATTACAGTGATATCTATTTCATGTTTACATTGTGTTTTGACTGATCTTGGTTCCACTTGACTGTTCTTATAGATAATATGTTTTTATATAGGTACTTTTAAACTAATTACTAATTAACTCTATTCACTTATAAAGCATTTTAAAAATCAATTCCTTGCGGTGCCTGGGTGGCTCAGTTGGTTGAGCATCTGACTGTTGGTCTCAGATCAAGTCCTGATCTCACGGTTGTGGTATCAAGCCCTGCATTGGGCTCTGCACTCAGTGAGGAGTCAGCTTGAGAGTCTCTCGCCCTCTCCCTCTGCCCCTCCCACTCATGCGTGCTCACTCTCTCTCTCTCTCTGAAATGGATAAATAAATTAAAAAAAATAAATAAAATCCATTCTGTATCATCTCCAAGAGTTTTCTTTACAGACTTCTCAGTGTTCTTAAAACCCATTTCAAACTTTTGGGAATTCATCAAAACAAAAAGCTTCTGTATAGCAAGAAAACAGTCAACAAAACAAAGAGGCAACCCACAGAATGGGAGAAGACATTTGCAAATGACACTACAGACAAAAGGCTGATACCCAAGATCTATAAAGAACTTCTCAAACTCAACACACAAAAAACAGATAATCATATCAGAAAATGGACAGAAGACATGAACAGACATTTCTCCAATGAGAAGGCATATAAATGGCTAGCAGACACAAGAAAAAATGATTATCATTATTAGCTATCAGGAAAATTCAAATCAAAACCACATTGAGATACCACCTTACACCAGTTAGAATGACAAAGATTAACAAGGCAAGAAATAACAAATGTTGGAGAGGATGTAGAGAAAGGGGAACCCTTTCATACTGTTGATGGGAATGCAAGGTGTTGTAGCCACTTTGGAAAACAGTGTGGAGATTCCTCAAAAGTTAAAAATATGAAAAATAGAGCTATTTTTAATATTAAAAATAGAGCTACCCTATGACCCTGCAATTGCCCTACTGGGTATTTACCCCAAAGATACAGATGTGGCAAAAAGGATGGCCATATGTACCCCAGTGTTCATAACAGCAATGACCACAATAGCCAAACTGTGGAAAGAGCCGATATGTCCTTCAACAGCCAAATGGATAAAGATGATGTGGTTCATATATACAATGGAATATTACTCAGCCATCAGAAAGGATGAATACCCAACTTTTGCATCAACATGGATGGGACCAAAGGAGATTATGCTGAGTGAAATAAGTCAAGCATAGAAAGTCACTTATCATATGGTTTCACTTACTTGAGAACATAAGGAATAATATGGAGAACATTAAGAGAAGGAAAGAAAAAGTGAATTGGGGGAAATTGGAGGGGGAGATGAAGCATGAGAGACTGGGGACTCTGAGAAACAAAATGAAGGTTTTAGAGGGGAGGGGGTGGAGGATGGGTAACCCTGGTGGGGGGTATTAATGAGGGCATGTATTGCATGGAGCACTGGGTGTTGTACATAAATAATGAATCTTGGAACACTGCATCAAAAACTAATGATATATTTTATGGTGACTAACATAACAAAATAAAAAAAATAAAAAAAACCCATTTCAGAATTCTGGTAACATTTTAATTTTCCTTAAAGGAGACAAGAAATTCAATTCTTTTGGTAAAATTTAAAAATGAAATAAAGCATTTGGGGATGACATTTTAGGCATAGGGAATAGCATATTATAGAAACAGCATATATAAATTATGAATATTAATTATCTATGGCAGTGGTTTTCATAGTGTGGTTCCTAGATCATCAGCATTGTCTGGGATCTCATTAAAAATTCCATTCTTGGTTTCTTTTATAGAAATGACCAATCATTCTGGTTTGCCTGGGGATGTCCTGGTTTTAGCACCAAAAATCCTGCATCCTGGGAAATCCCTTTCTAGAGAGGAAACTTGGGACAGTTAGTCACCTTAGGTTGCTTATCCCTGGTCTACTACATCAGAAACTCTTTGTGGTGCCCAGCAGTCTGTGTTTTTATAATCTCTCTGGCAGTTCTGATGCATGGTAAAGTTGGAAGATCACTGATCTAGGGAATTATGAGGAGTTTGGCATGGTGCCATAATGGGAATATGTAATAAGGAATGAAATTCAAAAGTAAGCTGAATGGGGCACCTGGGTGGCTCAGTTGGTTAAGTGTTTGCCTTTGCCTCAGGTCATGATCCCAGGGTCCTTGCTCAACAGGGAGCTTGTTTCTCCCTCTCCCTCTCCCCCTCCTCTCATGCTCTCTCTTTCACTTTCTATCTCAAATAAATAAAAATCTTAAAAAAAAGTAAGCAGAGGCCAAGCAATGAATAACCTTGTATACTTTGTTAAAGAGTTTCATCCTATAGCTAATGAGTATTAACTCATAAACTCAAGGATTTTTAATTAGAGGAGTATAGATTTTGTGCTGGCTCTTTGTATAGATGAAACTACTATGTCTGGTTAAATATTCATATATATATATATACACACACACATACATACACACACATACATACACACACACATATATATGATATATGATATAATATATTTTATATGTAAATAAAATTAAATTATATATTAACCAACTTCATTTGAAAATATAAAATCAAAATATAAAATATATAATCTTCATGATGCTTCAAGAGTTTCTGAATGTTCATTTTCTAGCTTATCAAAATATATACTTGCTTCAAATTTGACCTTCGATCAACTTTATGTGTATGTTTTGGAAAGAGGAGTATTGCTAACTCATTAGATATATATTTTTTGGAAGATGTTAGGTCTAGGAATGTAAATGCAGTTTGTGAAATTAAGAGAAATTGCAGAATTGTTCTTTTATCACGTTCTTGGAAAATCATATTGAAGTAGATATCATAAAACATGAAGCCTTGAAATATGTCATGCTTTTGGTACATGCATAAGAAAAAATTTTAAATTCTTTTTATAGCTCACTTCTCATATTCTGTTTTATTTGAAGTTTTAAACCTTTATGATGCACAAAGCTTTTATGTATATTTGGAAGCTAAGACCTCTTTTTAAAACTTCAAGTAATACCTGGACCATACATATTCACACCACATTATTATTTCTTTAATTTGTGTTTAGGAAATGGCTGGTTTCTTGAGGATGTTGTAATCAAGGATCCTGTAACAAATCGTGAATATACCTTCTTCTGTCACAGGTTTGTAGGTGTGCTTTTACATTGAAAAATAATCATTTCATATTAGTTCCAAGTTACTGTATTTTGGAGAAATGGGTAGCTTATTCAATTATTCCTAGTCACTGATGTTTTGTTGGGTAACTTTTGAAAATTAACTTTAGGGGCTTCTGCTTCTGTTTAGAAAGATATACATTATGTTTATCATCATTTCTGATGATATAAGTTTAAATCTCCCTTGGTAAATTCAGGTAGGTTTAATCATATTTTTAAAAAAAATCTTTAAAATAAATAAATAATAAAATAAAATAAGATAAAATAAAATAAAACTTTAAGATAAAGTTCCAAAATAAATGTTGCATGTGGGTCTTTTTTTTTTTTTAAGATTTTATTTATTTATTTGACAGACAAAGATCACAAGTAGCTAGAGAGGCAGGCAGAGAGAGAGAGGAGGAAGCAAGCTCCCCGCCAAGCAGAGAGCCCGATGTGGGGCTCGATCCCAGGACTCTGAGATCATGACCTGAGCCGAAGGCAGAGGCTTTAACCCACTGAGCCACCCAGGTGCCCCGCATGTGGGTTTTTATATGATGAAAACATTACTGACCCACTGTCATTGGGTTATTCTTCCAATAGTGGTGATAGATTTGCTCTTTCTTTCATTACTTGCCTGTCTCTTTCCCATGGAACCAATAATAGCCATTTATGAAATAACTGACAATAGTTTGAACTGTAGTTAATGGCTAAAAGAAGGATAACATAACCGGTCCAGTGGATATAAGATCTATGACCTGGGCAGGCTAAATAATTAACCTGTGGATTACGGAAAAGCCATGTTTCACCCTGAGCCTGATAGCAGCTTCTCCTACCTCCCTGTACCTCCTACCTATATTGTAGTCATTTCAAGAATTTCCTTTTCCATTTTCTGCTCTTTTCCTACCAACAAGATATCTATGATTTTTTCTAGTTCCTATTATCCATTAATCCTGACTTGGCTCCACAATTGCCAGTTATTAGTATAAATATAAAGCCATAATATTCTTGATACACTTCTCTTTCCACAGATGGTTGGATCAAGGGGAAGATGATGGTAAGATAGCCAGAGAACTGCATGTAATGGATAACAGCATCATCTTTGCAAGTGAGTGTCATATATTAGAAAATTCTCTTACTATGATGGTTGAGGAAAGTATGATTCTGCTGAAATTAATGATTTTATTTTTCATTTATTCCCTCAGGGCAGAAGCTAGAACTTAATAGAAAAGAAACAGTAAGATTTTACATTTGGTCTACATTGTTTGGTACAAATTGTGTCCAAATAACTATTTGATGTGTTAAAACAGAAATGGTATATAATGTTTAGTAAGCAGTGTTTCTTAGTAACTTTTTTGTCTCATGTTGTTGCTTTTGGTTTTGTTTTGTTTTTATACTTAGTGGGCTGCAGAAAGATGGAAGTTTATGAAAGGAAATACTCTACAATTCTATAACAGGCTCACTGGAGGGTTTGTCCGTCTGCATCCAGATGGCACAGTTGATGCAATTGGAGAGAAGACAGACAAATATGGTACTCATTTGGCAAAGCAAGTGGTACTGTTGCAGTTTTGGGAACTGGAGGAAGGCAGATCTAGACTTAGTTTAATCTGCAGTTTTGTTTCTTCTTTTCACATGACTTTGCACCAGTATTAAGTCATTTAAACAATTCACTACCTGCATTAATAAAAATAATCAATAGATGACAGGCTTTAAATCTGGGCTGACACTGTCATTATACAGAATAGCACATCATGAAAAAACTTATATTTGCTATTAATTGAAGAATAAAATGTATGCAATGAACATTGTTAATAAAAATCAGCAATTTTGAATGGTATAGCCATTTTTGGAATTAAATTGGTTCCACTAAATATTAAGTTCCTATTTGTTTAAAACACTGTTTTATATAATTTGAGGGCCACAGAAATAACTAAGACATTATTCTGAATTCCAGAGGGTCATAACCTAATAAAGAGGACAAACACATACAATTCTAATAATGGTTTTTTGTTGTTTTTGTTTTGTAGCTAGTGTCATAACAAAGGTATAGAGGGAAATATAGGCAAAACAAAACAAAACAAAAACCAGAAAACAAAAACTAGATTTGATGTTTAGTGAAGCCATGACCATAAGAACTAATGAAGAAGGGGTAAACTGACAGTGGTAGATCTTTTATTATAAACCCAAACCTCTTAACTCTTTTTGAAACAAATTTAGTATTTAAACAATCTGTGAATATAACTTTGCTGTATTTTGTTAGAAACTGTTGTTCAAATAACCTCTGAGATATACTGGGGATACTTAATCTATAGCATTTCTTCAAAATGTAACCTCCTTTATCTTGTGTTAGAGATCTCAAGGAATAATCCATTTTTTTCCTCTGTGAAAACATGTGGAAGTCTAAGAATACTTCCTAGTTGCTTCTCTTTCCAGAATTAATAGATTCCTTAGAAGTTTCTTTACCTGTTGGTTCCCATTTGGTTCCCATTTGACTACTTAAACTAGTCAAAATTGTCTTATATATTATATTGCCTGGGGGTAGGTGCTCTTTTTCCTCATTGAATATAGTGGCTTGTATTTCCAAATGTGATCAGAAAAATATCTCCTATTTATAATCAGAAACTGTGAAGGATCTAAGTTTTACCCTATTTTCATAAAACATGAGAGCACGGTCAAAGACCAAGACCATTCATTTGCCACAGCAAATTGCAGCAGCCAGAATATCTTGCTTTGTTCTGTAAGTCCTAGGCCTACAATATCCTGAGGTAAGGGCCTGATAGTACTGGAATATGTGGATGGGTGCATTAAAGGGGAGAAATCTCCAAATTAGGAAACTCTGATTTAATATACAGAGAGAGAAGAGACAGAGAGCCCTTATCTTTATTCTGGAATATAAGCAAATCTTCTCCAGGGAAGGGAAGGAAAAGCCTTTACCTTTATTCCCCCAAGTTGAGAGGGCAGAGAGAGAGAGAGAGAGAGAGAGAGAGGAGAGATGGAGGGAGGGAGAGAGAAAAAGAGAGGAAAGGAAGAAAGTGGGAGGTGGTGGAGAGATATCTCTATGCTTTATTTTGATGGGCTGTTTCTTTACACAAACATTTTGTATGTGCATTTATTCAGAGGGCTGGACTATGCAGGAAAATGACAAATGTAGGGAGACAAATGTTATTTTCTAACACCCATCACAAGCTAGTTTGTAAAGGGAACTTGCCGCTCCTACATCAACAAGTGGAATTCATTTCCTTACTCCTTGCTGGGTCAACCCTTTCTACATGTTTTGACTAAGAGAATGTAGATGAATCAACATTGTAACTTCTAAAGTCTGTATCTTCTACCATTATCTCTTGGATTAAGCTTTCTTGGAAGCCAGCCCTCATGCTATGTAGAAGCCCAGACAACCATACAGGGCTTCCAGGGAAAGAACCAATGCTCTGACAGCCCCAACTGAGTTCTTAGCCCATAGCCAAACATATGAATTCCTGTGTAGATCAAACTAACTGGTAGATATCAAAAGAGAAACTTTTTACCCTTAAGCATTACTAGCATCCTAATATGCTAGTCCTTTAATATATAAAGTAGAATGAGCATTCCTTACAAGGGAGGGCAGGATAGTATGAGTAATTTCCTTGGCCTAACTGACATTTTTGCAGCAAGAGGTCTTTTATGTGTGATAATTACTTGCAGGATTATTTCCTGATTTATGCTCAGTGTCCCATAAATTCACACTCATGAATCAGTTTTCCCATGCCTGGTAAGTGTTGTGATGAACAATGCTGACCCATGGATATCTTTTCAGGAAAATATTTTAAGAACATGTCTCTGAGATCTATTTGCTTATAGTTTTCATTCTACAAAACAATGTTGTTTTTATCACCATGAGACAATTCTTCTATTTATTTATCAAGCTAATTGTAAATTCAGCTGTTTCCATATGTAAAGAGTTAGAATGCTCATTTCTCCAAGAGCTACTGAGCCATTTATTGGCAATACTGAACCTAAAAGCACCACACAGCATGAGAAGATCTTTGAAATATCACAGGGAGCTTCACTTTATAATGATAAGCTTTTAGGTATTAAAACCAATACCATGCTAACATTGATTATGACAATCATAGTCATAAAAAAATCATATAGGATCTTAGAACTAAAAGGAAGGAGCAGACAGCCAAAGCAACTAAATTTTTAACTCTAAACCCTTAATAGTTACTTTATGTCAGGGTCATTTTCAAAAAGTTCCCATCCTCAGGGCACCTGGGTGGCTCAGTGGGTTAAAGCCTCTGCCTTCGGCTCAGGTCATGATCCCAGGGTTCTGGGATTGAGCCCTGTATCGGGCTCTCTGCTTGGCAGGGAGCGTGCTTCCCCTCCTCTCTCTGCCTGTCTCTCTGCCTACTTGTGATCTTTGTTAAATAAATAAATAAAATCTTAAAAAAAAAATTCCCATTCTCCAAAATTTTAAAAAAATTTGCTGTAAAATATAGATTCCCATATTCCCATATGCATTCTTTTCTCATTCTACAGTAGTTTTTCAAGATAAAAATTCATAATCTAAATTCACATTTATTTGACATATTTTAACAGAATTAGGCATGCAGTTTAAAAATGTATGATATATCACTGAAAGTTTATTATTATTATTATTAAAATATAGTGTATTATTTATTTCAGGGGTACAGGTCTGTTATTCATCAGTCTTACACAATACACAGTGCTCCCCACAACACATACCTTCCCCAATGTCCATCACCCAGCTACCCCATCCCTCCCAACCCCTTCCACACCAGCAACTCCCAGTTTGTTTCCTGAGATTAATACGCTCTTATGATTTGTCTCCCTTTCTGGTTTTGTCTTGTTCCATTTTTTCCTCTCTTCCACTATGATCCTCTCCCTTGTTTCTCAAATTCCACATATCAGTAAGATCATATGATAATTGTCCTTCTCTGATTGACTTATTACGCTTAGCATAATATCCTCTAGTTCCATCCATGTCATTGCAAATGGCAAAATTTCATTATTTTGATGGCTGCATAATATTCAATTCTATATATACACTGCATCTTCTTTATTCATTCATCTGTCGATGGATATCCAGCTCTTTCCATAATTTGGTTATTGTGGACATTGCTGCTATAAACATTGTGATACAGGTGCCCCTTCGGATTACTACATTTATATCTTTAGGGTACAAATTTTTGGGTCATAGGGTAGCTGTTTTCAACTTTTTGAGGAACCTCCATACTGTTTTCCAGATTGGCTACACCAACTCACATTCCCACCAACAGTGTAGGTGGGTTCCCCTTTTCTCCACATCCTCGCCAATATCTGTCATTTCCAGATTGGTTAATTTTAGCCATTCTGACTGGTGTGAGGTGATATCTCATTGTGGTTTTGATTTGTATTTCCCTAATGCCAAGTGATGTGGAGTGCTTTTTCCTGTGTCTGTTGGCCATTTGGAGGCTTCATTGAAGAAATGTCTATTCATGTCTTCTGCCCATTTCTTGATTGGATAATTTATTCTTTGGGTGTTGCGTTTGATAAGTTCTTTATAAATTTTGGATACTAGCCCTTTATGTGCTATGTCATTTGCAAATATCTTCTCTCATTCTCTTGGTTGTTCTTTGGTTTTGTTGACTGTTTCCTTTGTTGTGCAAAAGCTTTTTATCTTTATGAAGTTCCAATAGGTCATTTTGCCCTTGCTTCCCTTGCCTTTTGGTGATGTCTAGGAAGAAGTTGCTGTGGCTGAGTTTGAAGAGGTTGCTGCCTGTGTTCACCTCAAGGATTTTGATGGCTTCCTGTCTCACATTGGGGTCATTCATTAATTTTGAGTCATTTTTGTGTATGGTGTAAGAAAATGGTCCAGTTTCATTCTTCTACATGTGGCTGAACAATTTTCCCAACACCATTTTGAAGAGCATGTCCTTTTTCCATTCAATATTCTTTCTTGCTTTGTTGAAAATTAGTTGATCATAGAGTTGAGGGTCCATTTCTGGGGTGTCTGTTCTGTACCATTGATCTATGTGTCTGTTTTTATGCCAGTACCACACTGTCTTGATGATTATAGTTTTGTAATAGAGCTTGAAGTCCAGAATAGTGATATCACCAGCTTTGGTTTTCTTTTTCAACATTCCTCTGGCTATTCGGGGTCTTTTCTGGTTCCATACAAATTTTAGGATTGTTTGTTCCACTTTGAAAAAAGTTGATAGTATTTTGATAGAGAGTCCATTGAATATGTAGATTGCTTTGGATAGCATAGACATTTTCACATTATCTGTTCTTCCAGGTCATGAGCATAGAATGTGTTTCCATTTCTTTGTGTCTTCCTCAATTTCTTTCATGAGTATTCTATAGTTTTCTGAGTACAGATACTTTGCTTCTTTGGATAGCTTTATTCCTAGGTATCTTATGGTTTTGGGTGCAATTGTAAATGTGAATGACTCCTTCATTTTTCTTTCTTCTGTCTCCTGTTGGTGTATAGAAATGCAACTGATTTCTGTGTATTGATTTTATATCCTCATATTCTTATATGAGTTCTGACAG